GACTCCTGCTCACCCTGTGAGGTTGGCGAAGACTGAGCCAAGATCATCGTAGGGGCCAGGTTGGCGGCCATCATGCTTTGTGTTGCAGGCGCTCCGAGCCTTCCATACGTTGCCATCTGCTGTTGGGGCCAGCCACCAGCAGTCCACGTGGGCGGGAGGGACATTCTCTGTGGCAGCATTCCGGCTTGCAGACATATGACATTTGAGCCAAGACTTGAGCCGTAGCCATTTAAATAAATGCATATATATTTATATGTGTGTGTGTGAACTGCGTGAACGTATGTATGTATCTATGTTTTCAAATGCCTGTGTGCATGTGCATGTATGATGTGTATGCGTATGTGTGCACATGTGTATATGTATATGTACATACATATGCTGAATATGTACGCATGTCACGCATGCATATATGTGTAGTGTGCATGTATGTATGCATGCATGCCTGCATGTATGTATGTATATATACTTATGCATAAGGTCCACGGACGATCCAGATGTTCTGGGCAGGCTGCAGGCAAGTTGCTGGAGTGTGGCGCCCTGGGATGCCATTTCCTTTCAAGGTGCACGGGAGTCAACAATCGGATGTTTCCTGCTCTTGAGTCTTGTCTCACCCCGCACATACCTTCCAATTTCATGCACTCTCTGGGTCTCGTACTCTCTCTTGAATCTCTTGCTTTCGAGGAACATCTTTCTAGTCTCACTCGCATGCCCATTTCCCTTCTGAATATTGATCGGAGTGTGTCCTCAAGTTCTGCCACCTACGAGTCCTGTAGGTTTCCCATCCCATGATACCTTTGTGAGCCCGGCGTAAACTTGCGGCCAACTCCTGAACCTTTGCGGCTTGGGAAATACTTTTTGACAGCAAACTTTTCCAGACCCGCTCCCCTCCTCTCCCGCTTGCGTGCACTCCTCCACTCTAAGCTGGGACCCCCTCATATATCTCCCACCGCACCACACGCAGTCGCAACGCTTCGTCGCGTCGTCCTGTCCCGGCCTTCAACTTGCTTTCTGCTTGCTGGCATCGGTGTGATGCCGCCTCGCGAACGTTTCTTTCACGGTGTTTAAGTTACGACACCGGTGCACCGTGACTCTCTCGCTCTCTAGACTCTATGACATGCCCTGTCATGTGTCCGTGAGGCTTCTGCCTTGTTATTCCAATTCCTCTCCTCGAGAGTGGCGGCGCGACAAGGTTCCACAGAGTCCGCTCAGGTCTGAACCCGACATCGCGGCGAAACCAAGAAAGACATGAAGATCCTCGCACTCGCACTGCCAATACCTCCTCAGAAACTTCTGGTTGCCTGCATCTCGCCAGCAACAGCTTCCAGATTCGGAATAATTACTATCAACTATGTTCAACTTATGCCGCCATGCACCATCGACACGAGCAGGCACCGAACAAGCGGCACAAGGTGTGTGAGTTGAAGGCAAGCCCAGCGCTCGTTTTCATAAGATGAACCGGCTGCGCGAGCGCAAGTGTGATTGAAAAGGACACATATGCTCCTCGCATCAGCCGCGGGGTACTCTCCGCTGCCAGTTTTGACAGCGCAGAGCAAGGCACAGCACGCCGTGAACCCACGTGCTGACTTGCGACATGCCCTGCATAACATATTAGTGTAACAGTAAGAGTAGTAAGCTAGCTTATATGGTTCAGTTGCATGTTGGGCTCAATAAGTTCCTCGTGGTTTGTCATTGCATATCACCTTGCAGGCATTGGCGACTAAGCCTGGAGACGACGCACCAGGAGCGACATGGGTAACATGCCGCAGGATCAGTGGCAAGCCAACTGTCAGCTGGGCACCCAAACTAGAACACTCGTTGACTTCTTGACCGACGGCCTGGAGTCGGTCAGCGGCCTCTCCTGCCACGCGGTTGCCTGCTATCTGAGCGGCTACGTCGCCGCCTCGATGGGCTGCGCCGAGAGGGCGAGCGTCGGCCGCGGCTGTCCCTCCTGCGGCTGTCGCGCGGCCGGCTGTCCCGGCGACGGCTGGGAGAACGCTGTCTGGGTGGCGACCGGGACCGGCTGCGCGACCGAGGCCGGGGCGGACTTCGGGAGGGTCGTCGTGGCGACGGCCTCCGCTGCCGCTCCTGGCGCAGTTGATCTATCAGAGGCCTTCGCCCTTCACGAGGAGCTGAAGGAGAATGATCTCTTTGACCGGTAATGTCCAGAACGATGAGCGCATCCCTGCGAACATCTTCCGGGTCGGTTGTGGTCGCCAGGCTCATAGGTCCCCCAGCTGTTTTCCCCTCCTTCAGCTCATCCACGATTCGTTCCGGGTGCGGTATGCGATTCTTAGACAAATCCAAGAAAAGCTTTGGCATGGTCTCTCTGTCGGGATGTCGATTGCGTTCCCAGTAGGCACCCTCAATGATGCGCCGGCAAAACTCTTGGCCGAAGCGGTTGCCAGCCAGGGAAACTTTCTCGGCATACCTCGAGTTCTTTCCGGCTCCGAACTTCTTCACCAGCCGTACTATCTCAAGCTCGACCAGGTCGTCCTTGTCATGACCTCACTATGTTGGAGCTTGGGAACAGGTTTAAGAAGCAATGTCACATCTCATGCACTACATATATGCAAGACCCACCCACGCACACAATTGCAGCGCCTGTCAATTGTGAGCCCACGACATCAATCTTCCCTTCCATCGTGCCGAGCCCAACACCGCCACCAAGATTAGACTGACTAGACTGATTAGACAAGACAGCACTAGTTAGGCATTTACAGTCGCCCCACTTGTTCCACTTGTTCAGTACAAAATGAGTCGTGATCTGCTGCTGACGCCTCATTTCTTTACCGTCTCATCTCCTTGCCCCGTGCGTTCTGCCTTCCTCGCCCCCCTTTCCGATGGTGTCCATGGACTTGTCTGTGCACCCCGTTGCTGCCTTCCTTGTGTGCCTCAAGTCAATGCAGGGCTTTTGCTACCTTTCATGTGGGCACGCGCAATGCGTTCCGAGTCCGTCTGCAAGTGCCACAAGCTCTGCGAAAGAATGCCATGTGATGAGGGCCGCGCTGTAGCCTTCCAGGTTGCAGTTATCAAAGATGACCGTGCGTGCCTGCCGGCCACCGAATCACGAGCGCAGCCGGTGCACATAGGAAGGATTGCATGCCTTGCGCATCCCGCCTCTGTTGAGACTCGAACGAACTGCACTATCAGCTGCACCGTCTCTGCTCGGCGCTTCAAGTCTCAGCAGGTTTGGCACAGGACAGGCATTCTTCGTGCGGCCATACTACAATAATGCTGCGCCGGCCAAGCCCGTGACTTGCCTTGACTGCTGCAGTATGCTCCTTCTCCATACCATTACAAGACGCAGTCTTTGCAGAATGCAGCTTGTCAAAACATGTTAAAACACACGGTCCGTCGGCGATGGTGGAGTCAGAAGGGAGTTGCCACTGAGGTTGATCTCGTTAATCGGCAAAGTCGAAGTTCGAGTTGGCATCAGCCTTTGTTCGACCAACTGCTTGGCAAAACTACTCACTACTTTGCTTGCTGTTGTTCAGCGCCACGTGGCCCCTTGATGCCGCCGATTTTGCCCACAGCTTTGATCGTCTTCACCTGTGCAATATGACTCATGCCACCGCGACTATGCAGCTCTGGAGCATGGCAACATCGAGCTGGGCAGCCGGCCAGCATCTCCTTCCGCGCAACATGTTGCATGACACCGCATGGCCACGAAATGCCACGAAGCATCGATGCTCTGCATTCTGGAACTTTAAGCTCTCGCAACTTTACGGAACAGGAATGCCTGCGCTCCTCGGCCATGTCCTCTCCAGATAGGTCTAGCTTGCCCGTCTCCAGGCACTGACAGGGCAGGGGATCTCGCGTGAAGCGCAGACATGACACCGACACGACTCTCTTGAACATCAGCGACTCGAGCAGCACTGTACTCCCAGCTGCTCTCATGTACTTTCTATGTACTTCTGGTGCAGCTCACTACGAACTTCTAGAAGCACTGTACATCCCATGTCTTGGGCCTTGTCAAGCATGCGTATGCATTTCAGAGCCGTCTCTTTGGTTCCACAAGTCTTCATCAGACCTCAACTTGCACAGACCTGAATCTGAAACTGCTCTGTCAAAGCTAGTGGCTTTGCCGCCATGTAGCTGATGTCATTGAGAACCTCGTCGTCCGGCACATCCTGCACCTTGCAATGAAAGATGCCGAACCCAACATCAAGCCTGTCTGACACATAGTCTGCCTTCGGCCGGTCCGGTGCAGTGCTTCCGTTCGTCACGATGCCATCCACAGGCATCCTTGGCTCGCGGCGCATCCAATTTCGAAAATCGGCCGCCCTCGATGAGGCCACCACAGCCTGCCCCTTCTCACCGATGTAACTTTCCTGTTGCTCTCTGGAGCCGACATCGGGCATCCGCAGTCGTATCTGCGCCGACACATCACTTGCAAACATGCACGAACGCATGAATGCAAACAAACGTGCGTACTTTTCAAATCGGCCAGCAGAGTCTCCCAGTCGGGCTGCAGCCGTCTCAGGTGTGAGCTTGCTCAGCTAAGACAACTTCGAAACGGTCTTGATGAGTATGATGCCTTGGTTGGACAAGCTGTGGCCAGGAAAAAAACGCGGGCAATTGCAATCGAGTTGCCATGCAACGCTGCATTTTGTCCAAATTTTGCTTTCAGCGTATACCTGCGCCCATCTATGTTGACACTATCACTATCCTAACCGTGCTCATCACCTGTTTGCCACGACAACAAAGTCCTTCCAGGGAGTTTTTCGTAGTCCCACAGTGCTTCCAAACAGCCGGGATTGTTTCCTAAGTTGGGCTTCCAGTCGGGCTTGGCTGGCCAAGGCACCCAGAATGCGGCAGTTTAACAAGCTTCCTCTGTGCGGACCGGTTGCCAGCGGCTGTCCAATAAGCTTTGCAACCTTCCGTGACCAGTAGGTGCGTGCCCCAGGAATACGGCTTGATAACCTGAACGAAACTGTTGAGTGTGAAACGAAGAATCGCAACTCCCAGTGCATCCAGCCTCTCGTATCACAGTTTCCGTTGCTGGCGCCACTTCCCATCCACTAGGAAGATTCTTCGCCCGGATCACCGAGATATCTGTCTTGGTCTGATAGGTATACCGTGCCTGAGCTAGTGTGAAACAAACTCATGCTGGAATGTGACGCGGTAGTGATGCTACAGGAACTCGACTGCTCGCGAACTCAGACAAGTCAAGCATCATCGGGCTCAGTCGTCCAAGGAGGCTGAGCTTGTGGACTGGTAAAATCAATAGTGGCATATAAATAGCCTTCCTAGGGCTGCGGTTGACATGGATTGCACAATCAACAGTGACCGGTGGCCGAGGGCACGGCCAACGAGATGGAGTGTTGTCTTTGCTCCTCTGTGATGGAAACTTCTTTTTTCGGATCTGCTCGACCAGCTGGAGGAGGAATCCGATACCTTCGTGTGTTCGAATTCAACCGACACTGCGTCTCCACAGCCTCAAGGCTTCAACATGTGCGCAAGACTACCTTTGCCTTCACTTGCGCCTGCCTTGCATCTACATTGCTGTAGCCACCAAAGGACGTTCCCAATGAAAAGTCTCCTGGCTTCATCAAGCTCTCCTCTTTTGCGACATTGAGCCGGCCGAGTTTTCGGAACCCACAGATATTGATTTTTCGTCTGCAAGACCCTTGATTTCTGGTGGGTTTCAAGACCCAACAGAAATTAAGGAGCTGACAGGATCACGATGTGGGTATATATCTCTTCTAAATATATACTGTACCAGCCGCAATCTCGGAACAGTGCCAGTGACTCTACTTAGTTGAACCAGAACTCGTCGAGATGCGCAGGTTGTGGGTTGCCTCCGCCGCGGCTGCGGCCGCGAGCGCCGTTGCTGCGGCTGCGGCTCTCCTAACACCATATCTTAATGAGCTCAGAGTCCCAGCACGTTTCAACCAATCGTGCCCGAACCTTTCGGCTCCCTCTCCCTCGGCTTCTGCTGTCCATCCTGCGACAACTGCACTTGCCAACTTCCTTACTAGAAGGCGTCTCTGTATCACACATGTACACGGAGCACTGTCCGGGGTCTGCTTGTGCTGCGATGGCGCTGGCTCCTGCAGCAAAAAGGAGACATCAAAACATGAGATTTTACGAACCACAGGGCTGTCCTTTGAGGCTTGCTGCGGGTTCTGCTTCGGCTGTCCATCCGTCTGGATGCATGCCTTGGCATGCCCAACTCTTTCGAAATACAAAAAAATTGCAGCACGGCCTTATTGGACTTAGCTTTGTACCTCTCGCCGCTGTCACCTCTTCGCCGGCTGCCGCGCATGTTGCAACTGGTCAAAGGACCATGTGCGCTGCAGGATGCTCTGCTTAGGAACTCGTCGGCCCATTCCTGACTTGAGATGACTTGAGCTCTCTTCAAGAGCCGGCTGGTGCTCGCGCACAAGCTGTTTTGGGATGCTAGGGTGGAAAGGGGTGCTAGTGTACCCGGCGAGCTCGCAGGGAAGATCATGGTATACTACCTCGCTTCCTGCTCAGGAACAGCTTCCAGAAGGTTTAAGAGCTCTGGCTGCAGACACACACTCTCTGATTGAGGTGCACTTGATTGGCATGAGCCGATCATATCAAGTTTGGGCACTTTTTCTCCAATTTCAAGACTGTTTCTGAGGCACTGGTCATAGTCTGCTCTCGGCCTGCCTATTTCGCTTTCGTTGTACAAGTGCGTGGGATCTCTGGTTTAAAGATCTCACAGGTTGCATAAATCCCCGTCTGCATGTGGAAGAAGCAGATGAGGCAACAGCAGCACTGCAGCGCGCGTTTCACACGACGCTTAGCACCTGGAGCTGTTTTGAACAGTTCGAGCCAGCTGCCTTTGGCAGGCGGACGTGGTGCAACTCGTGGGAAAAACAATCACGACCAGTTAGCTAAACTCTTGCACCAGTGGCTGTAATTACAAAGCCCGGTATGGTGCATCTCAAATCTGATTCTCAACATTCAGGCTTTCAAAGCTTTGCCCTAAGCCATCCTACCGGCTAGACATTGCGAGCCGCATGCTAGGTGGCTTTATGCGCCCGAGGTTGACGAACACGCAACCTCAAAGATCCAAACACGGAAAGCGAGAGAAAGAAAGCGAGAGAGCCAGTTGACATGTTCGGCGTGCGAGCCCTGCTGCCTGCCCGGGTATCCCCCGCAAGACATCCAGCGATGACGCACAGAATTGGAAGGTTCGTAACGCAAAAACAGCCAAGAGACTGGGTCCTTCGCCGGAAGCACATGCTTTCTCAAACGGGTTGCGCTGCTTCCACGGCTCTTTCTTGGCAGCATCCTCTGAAGAGCCGTCCATGAAAGAGAAGACCTTTCACTGCAGTATGGCACTGTGAAATCGGAGTTGGAGCTTGCAAACTTCAAGGTGCCTTCCTACCGGACAGTTCCGCGTGCTGCTCCTTTATGAAATTCAGCAGCTCTTCAGCATCCACCCCATCCCCATCCCGGTCCATACCTCATGCACTCGGATGTCTCCAATGCGGACAATCACTGTATGGCGACCGGCGAGGGAGAGGGAGCCAGCGTCTCCCGACTCCAGGACTCTAGGAAGCGGGCTTTTGTAGAACTGCTTCAGTTCCATGTCGCCCACGTCGTATGCAGTGAGATGGAGGTTTTGTCGAGCGAAATAAAGAAATTCCAGCCTTTGAAAACAGGCTCGGGCATGTTCCGATCGACACAGAACTTTCATGCACTGACATGGCAAATCGGTGTACAGTGAACCGGCTTGTGAGGCTTGGCCAGAAGGCTCTGTGTGACCTATCTATCCAGCCGGCTTGCAAAGAGATTTTCCCATCACCGCCCGCATCAATATTTGCAAACCTCGGCCACGTGGAGCCCTGCTGTCATGTATGTTGTGCTCCATGTTCCAGATGGCTCAACCTTGTTTTCAAGCTCCGCACAGCTCGTTGATGGCTGAATGTGATGCAGTATACTTCCTGGGTCGCGTCAACGCAGCAGACAACGATGCTCTGAGGTGCCCGACTGCGGCTGGGTCTCCGAAAGGCCAAGTTCAGATTGCGCCGGACCCGCGCCGTCTTCTTTTCTAAAAGCCTGTTTTCATCATCAGGCCGCTTCGAGCCGTGGGACACGTACTCGAGAAGCTCCGACCTGGAGGGAGGACGTGAAGAGCGTATCATCCTGGATGACATGTTCTGTGCTGCAGCTAGGAAGCATTTCCACGGAGCCACTCTTGTCGTGATCAATGACATCGAAAAGAACTTGCAAGTCATAGTCAGGAAGAGTTTCTGGAGTGATGCGAAGTGCTGCTCGCACTGCCTCAGGCTCGACATGGCAGCCGCACTCTCAAGGACCAAATGCTTGCGCATGCTTGCTGGATGTTCTTCCCTCCACCTGCTTCAGCTCCTTGGCATCCAAAGCGCCGGACCTTCGAAGAAGCGCTTGCTGCATCGAGTCTTGGAGTGTCAAGTTTCACCAAAGCTGTTCCCAGCAAGGCGCTTGTCAGAATCGGCAGCCGCAAAGACTTTGTCCCAGGACATTTCGCGATGGGCCTCCAGTGGTCGCAGCACGGTTTTGTAGCTGGAAGCCACTTAAAGAACTGGTGCAGCACGGATAGAAGACTTGCAAAAAACTTGAGAGATGATGATTGGTTTGAGAAGCCGCTTCCTGTTTTGGCCTTTTGGCCCTCTGGCCTTGGCGGAAATGATGACCCGCCGGGCTCGCGCCAGGATCTCCTCGTTGCTGGGCTTCCGCCCGACGATGGGGGACCGGTTGTGATTCTGACCAGACCTCGCCGGATACCGCAGCGAGATACTCCGCTTAAGGGCAAAAAGGCCAAACACGCCAGCTGCTAGCTGCTGGCCCAGGTGCTTGGGCCCATCATCCCCCAGAGTACGGCAGTGCTTGAAGGGGGAAACAAAGTGTTCCCTGACCTGGGCCAACAAGAGAATGACAAAGACAACATGTTCAATGCGTGGCTTAACGATGTGAAAGCTCTTGTGTGCACGTGCACTCATGGAGGAGGTGCGTGCTTGGCCGAAGATTGGCATCCCCTTTGGCACTGAGATCTGCGATTACGCCAGTGTTTTGAGCCGTTTCCGCTTCCTCGCCCAAGAAACCGAAGCCATTGCTCTGCCGCACTGAGACATGGAAGCACACTGCATAGACAAATAGAGGCCGTGAACAAACCACAAACTTCCAAACCCCACGTCTCCTGCACGAGAAGCTGCTGAAGAAACTGCGAAGAGGACAAACATAATTGAGACTGCTCGAAAGCGCCGGGACGACGAGTCTGCCCAAACGATCCGCAGAAATCGCTCAGCGTTTGAGAGACAATCTCCTCGCCTGAAGTGGTTTGATCATCAAAATTTCGGTGCGTATGCATGACCGGTGCCTCTCCATGGCTGCCAC